GCGGTCCCCGCCCCACCCGCCTCCAGGGCTGAGACTGGCGCGCAGAGCCTCCCGGATGAGGCCTGGCTGCCCGCAGGGCTGGCCCACCCTGGCTGCGCGACCCGGGCCAAGCGGTTCACCTTTCTGGGCCACCTCAAAACTGGAAGGAACCAGAGAGTCTCTCGAGACAGGTCCCCCTCCCAACTCTCTCTCTCCCTCTTTCGGAAAAGCGAGCAAAGCTCTTGGTGCCAGAATAACCAGCGCACCCTTTCAGCGGTCAGCAAGCCCAAAGTCATCAAAAGTTCGAATATTGTGAAATCCCAGAATTCCAGAGCGTGATGGGTCACATGTCAGGTGAGAGCGGACAGGGCATTTAAAGTACCAATTTTTTTCATTTTTCCTCCAATCCTTTGGGTTGAGGCGTGCAGTCTCACTTCAGTACTAAAGGGGCTGGACACCTAACACTGCCCAGTCCACTTGGCTCTGTGGTGATATCCAGCTAGAATTTAGCAGCACCGTTTTGTTTCCATGAGACTAAATTTATGATTTCTTAGTCTTCCAAGCAAGTGACACCGGTTTTCCATTGAAGGTATTCATAAAAACGTTCTTTTTAAAACACCTGTATTTGGTCATTTTTTAATGTGAAACCAATTTGAAGGAAAAGAAACAATCCTTACAACGTGCTTACTCTGGGCCAGGCTTTACATCCATTAACTCAATTAATCTCATCTCCAGGGCAGTGACTGTCACGATCCCCAATTTATAGATGTAGAAACCGAGGCGCAGAAAAGTTATAATACCCAAAATGTATAAAAAACTCATACAATTCAACACCCCCCCCAAAAAAAACCCAAACACACACACACACACACACACACACACACACACACGCGCACTCCAACTAAAAAATGGGCAGAGGACCTGAAGAGACATTTCTCCAAGAGGACATACAGATGGCCAATAGACACACAGAAAGATGCTCGACGTCACTAATGGTCAGGGACATGCATGCTAAAACCACGGTGACCTTGTCCTCTGGCGTGGTGAGTAGGCGCTGCCCGTGCGCCTGCGGTGCCTTGCCGCTTCTCCACGGCAGTCTGACGCCTGTCTTCCTCTTCTGCTCTGATATTTCTGTTTCGCTGCAGTCACTGAAGATCCTGGTGTCACCCTGGGCCGCCGCCCCCACCCGATGATACGGAGATCCGAATCTTTGACCTGGGGGCGGAAGGAGGCAGAAGCGGATGAGTTCCCACCTGTGGCCGCATGGCGTTAGGTGAACATCAGCCGCTCTCTTCCGAAGCCCTGGCGGCTGCCCGTCTTTGTGCCAAGTACACGGTGGAAGGCTATGGCAAAGATGGCATTCACATCGGAGTGTGGTGCCACCCCTTTCATGTCATCCGTGTCAACAAGATGTTGTCCTGGGCTGGGGCTGACAGACTCCAGATGGCTATGCAGGTGCCTTTGGAAAGCTCCAGGCACGGTGGCCAGGGTCCACATTGGCCAGGTGATCTTGGCTGCAGAGCAAGGAGCCTGTGATCGAGGCTCTACGCAGGGCCAAGTTCAAGTTCCCTGGCCGCCAAAAGATCCACACCTCCAAGAAGTGGGGCTCTACTGAGTTTCATGCAGATGAGTCTGAAGACACGGTGGCTGAACCACAGCTCATCCGAAATGGCATCAAGTCCATTCCTATCGTGGCCCCCTGGACAAATAGCCGGCCCTGTCACACTCATGAAAGCCTTGGTGCTGCCCTCCCTCAAACTCTTTCACCAATAAATCCCTACTTCTGTCCAAAACAAAACAAAACAACAACAACAAAAAATACACACATGATGAGACACCGCCTTACACCTGTCAGAATGCCTATCTTCAATAAATCAAAAAACAACAAGTGTTGACGAGGATGTGAAAAAAAGGAACCTTCGTGCACCGTTGGCGGGATGGCAAATCGGTACAGCCATTACGAAAAACAGCTTGTAGTTTCCTCAGAAAACTAAAAATAGAACTACTTTACGACCCAGCAATTGCACTTCTGGGTATTTATCTGAAGAAATCCAAGACACTAATTCGAAAAGATATACGCACCCCTGTGCTCACTGCAGCACTGTTTACAAAAGCCAAGATAGGGAAGCAACCTAACTACCCATCAATAGATTGGATAAAAAAGATGTGGTCCATATATACAATGGAATATTACTCAGCCATAAAAAAAAAAAATGTAATCTTCCCATTTGGGACAACACGAATGGACCTAGAGGGTATTACGCTAAGCGAAATAAGTCAGGCAGAGAAAGACAAATACCATACGATCTCACTTATATGTGGAATCTAAAAATCAAAATCAAAAGACGAAACAGAAACAGACTTATAAGTAAGGAGAACAAACTGATGGTTGCCAGATGGGAAGGGAGTTGAGGAGCTGGGTGAAAAGGTGAAGGGATTAAGAAGTACAAAGTGGTAATTACAAAAACGTCACAGGGAGGTGAAGTACAGCACAGGGAATACAGTCAATAATATTGTAATAACTCTGGATAGCGCCAGGTGGGGACCAGACTAATCAGGGGGACCACGTCGTAAATTATATAAATGTTTGACCACTACCCTGTACACCTAAAACTAATATAAAATAATACTGAATGTCAACTGTACTGAAAAAACAAGAATTAAAAAAAAAAGGTTTATTAACCTACCCCAGGAGGGACAACAGAGCCGGGATTTGCCCCCAGATGCTTGACACTGCCCCACACTGCTTCCACGTAACCACCTGCACAGGTAGCACGCAGGGAGCTGGGCTTGGGAAATACTGCGTCAGAAGGACTAACACTACCCACAGCGATCATTCCACCCGGCGTGCAGGTCTATCCACGGGCACGCTCACACCATCTTCTCTCTAACGGTGAAAAGCCGGATGCCTCCTACGTGCCCGATCCCAGGCAAGAAAACTAACAAGGCAACTGGAAAACTCTGCCGATGCATCATCTCGCGCACTCCACATCCAACCTGGGAGCCAGTTTTCCAGCTTAACCTTCAAAATCCATCCAGAGTGCAGCCCCTTGTCACTAGCTCCACGATTACCACCAACGACCGTTGTCTCTCACCTGAGTTATGACAAGAGCTCCCAGCTGTTCTCCAGGATTCCAGCAGCAGTCACAGTGAGTCTGGTTTTTTGGTTTTGTTTTTTTAAGTCAAATTATGTGTCACTCCTCTGCTGAAACCCCTCCAGGGACTGCCATCTCAGAGTGAGAGCCAACGAAAGTCTCTTTCGCTGGCTCTTCCGGTTGCTCTCTGTGCCCAGAGCCCTCTCCCTGCCCCCTCCTCACACCCTTCCCCACACTCTGCTCCTGCCCCACCGGCCTCCCGGCTGTTCCTGGGTACGCCAGGCCTGCCGCCACCTCTGGGCCTTGGCACCTGCCATTCCATGTGCCTGAATGCCCTTGCCCTAGACACCTACGTGGCTCTCTCCTCCACGTCCGTCAGGCCCTTGCTTAAATGTCACTTTCTTAGGGAGGCCTTCCGTGACAACCCCATGTCCACCTACGACCCCTGCCCTGCACCCCTTTCTGCTTTATTTTGTATTTTTCTCCATAGTGCTTATCTAACACAGTTTACCAACTGTTTACTTATTTATTGTCTCTGGTGTCAGTCTCTCATCTGAAAGAACATGATATAGCTTCAAGTTCGTGTTTTCGCTTTCTTTGGATAGATACCTAGAAGCGGAATGGCTGGATCATATGAGAGAAGAAACTTTGAGATGTTTAAAAGGCTTACGGGTGTACACCCAGCTGTGGAAAAATGAGATCGACATGGCTGGATTTTGTGTCACCTACAGACACCTCACTGATCTGGGTTTTCTTGGCCAGACTGTGGAGGCACACCTGTGAGTCATCAATTCTTGTTGAATTTAGCAAAAAAAAAAAAGTGCGTCGGTGTTGGGGTCCCAAGCCTGTCGAATCAGTTATTTGCCCAGTGGTGCTAGGAAGATCTTTGATTTGATCTCACGTTGCAATTAGGGAAATAAATTCGAAGAGGGGCAGTGGCCTGCCCAGGTGGCCTGCCCAGGTGGCCTCCCGCAGTGAGTCAGGCCTGAGCTGGAGCCGAAGCCCTGATCACACTCTCTGCATCACCCATTCATTCATTCATTCTTTCACACAGTAATTATTTGACTACATCATTAGATACATATATATAATAATAAAAATGAAACAACTCCAATTACGCACAAGTCGATGACTCTTATTCACATAAATGTCGAAAGAAACAAGACCCCAACGCATAAAAAAATAGTTCCGTGCAATGCAATTGATAGAAAATTCAAAAATGAGTAAAGAGAAACGCAATTGTTCTGGGGTCTGTTCATAGGTGGTAACGAGGACGTGACCCCCGTCAGAATAAGGGCTGTGACTGCCTCTGATGGGGCGTGGGAATCACGGCCGGAAGAGACACATGGAGCCTTCTGGTGGGGGGCTGGAGGGGCTCCGCTTTTTGTCTTGTCCCCGCCTCCCGCCCCCAAGGCCACGATGCCAGTGGCCATGAATGACGTCAGCACCCAGAGGTTTGGCTTCCCTGGTACTCCCAGAGAGGCACCAAACGGTGCAGTGAGTCTATCCCGCCCACCTTCCACATCCCACGCTGGCTCCGGTCCACCAGCTCGGAGGAGGGCCCGTTATGCCTAGCTCACACGTTAGGATAATGAGCGCTAAAGAGCTTTGGGAGCTAATGGCCAAAGGCCAGAGACTGTCAAGGACTCTGAGGGACAGCCAGGCGGCTGCAAGGCTGTGGGACGATGAGGCCCAGCTGGTTCCCTTGGGGCTGGAGCTGTCCTCGTTTGGCCCCAAACCCACCTGGCCCTGCTCGGCAGCCCCAGGCTGCCTCTCAGTTAGGTTCGGTATGTTATCTTTCACCAGCCAATGGGCTGAGGCGACCAGGAACAGGTCACACAGCCTATTTCCTGTTTTCAGACCGGGAACTTAAGAGAAACGGCAGCCACTCCCCGGAGAGCTGAAGGGGACAATGTGACATGCCCCCCTCCGGACCCCTGGACACCCTCAGGTCAGAGGTCAGTGTTGTATCTCAAGCTTAGGGGGCCTCTGCCCACCTGTGACCCAGCCTCAGACCCTGAAGGGGGAAGGGTGGAGCAGAGAAGGGCTGGACGGCCGCTGTCCGCTGTCCGTGGGGCTCTCTATCAGGGCAGGAAGCCACTCCTCAGCTCCCTAGGGCCGCGATCCCTTTCGAAGGGCCACAGGCTTCTGCAGCCCTGAACCTGGGGACCAAGTTGCCACACCTGTGTTTCTCAAAGAGTGGTGCCAGGGAACCCTACGTCGGGACAGTCCTGGCACGCTTGCACAAAACGCAGAGTCCGGGCCCCCCTCTCCCGCCCGGCCCTGCTGGATTGGACTCCCTTATGTTGGGAGCCAGAAAACTCTGCTTTTCCGAGCCCCAAGCCCCCTCGCCCCACCGTCCCCGAGGAGGTTCCGATACACACTCACGTTTGGGAGCGTGCCCATCCGATGTCCAGGGTTCCCTGTCTCCCAGGTCGAGCCAGGGTGCTTTATTCCACTGCACGGGGGTCGCACCCCCAGGGACAGTCCTCTGCAGCCACCTCAGAAAGCTGGCGTGGGCTCTGAAGGTGGCCCTGTGTGCCCATCGGGACGGCTGGATACGGCAGGCAGCCCTTGGGGGGAACTGAGGTTCAGCGTGAGGGAGGGAAGGGGCAGAATGACCGCCCAGGAGCTGGATGGCGGAGGGGCTGGGAGGACACTGTCCCTCGGGCCGAGTACAGGCATCCAAGCCAATAGTACCAACGCTTATAGGATTTTGTTGTAAAGTCTAGAAATCTCTGCTCTACAGGGTGTAGAGAGAGGAGGCAAGGGCCCACAAAACCCCATGTGTAGCTGTCCCCGAAAGAGTTTTTTTAGTGACAGGATTGCTTTCCCCATTTCACAGATGGGCAGACTGAGGCCTAGCGAGGAACAGGACACTGCCCAAGACACTGTGAGCACTCCAATGCACGATTTTCTCCTTCCCACTCTTCCTTAATGGAGGACCGCCAGCCGGTCCCATAGGAGACAGGTAAGGGCGTTGGCTTTGGCGGCTGAATTTCATTTTCATCCGAAGCCCTGGGTGCACACTCAGCTTTCCCAGGCCTTTACTAGAATGTCCAGCCAAGGCCATCATCCCTGGCGTTCTTCACAGGGTATCTGAGTAAACAGGGCCCTACTTCTGCCCTGTCACCAGCTGCCTGATCAGGACGGTAGAGCTGGAGGGGCTGAGACCGCTGAGGCCAGTGCCACTCACCATCACCCATTTTACAGGTGAACTGAGTCGGGTGCCTAGGTGCGCCCACAGGAAGGACTTGGCCCTAAGAATCGCAGCCACCAGAGTCCATTAGATAAGGGAGGGTGTAGACCACTCGCTCTTCTGCCTGGGCACCTCCTGGAATGGAGGGAGCCTGTCCCTAGCCAGCCAGCATCTTGTCAGCAGGACAGACTTCTCAGATGGAGAAACCAGGGCCTAGGGACATTAAGTAATGGACCTGCGGTGGTCAGGACGGAGGCCTGGCTCCTTGAGGTGGGATGAGACATGAATGAAGGATGCAAGTTCTAGCACGCTCAAGCATGTGCAGCCCTGGGCCAGCCATGCCCTGCTCAGTGCCTCAGTTTCCCGTCTATCAAAGCCGCTGCTGGATGGAGGGTCCCTAAGAGCTGTCCACGGAACAAGTGCACGGAGCTGCCCCCAGGGCTCCTCTCACGGCCACAGCAACGGCCGCCCCCTGGAAGCACGGGCCCCTGGTCCCAGGTGACCTCACCCCTCCCCAGGACAGGCCGGCTCCAGGAGGCCCTCGTTGCTGGAATGGGAACAGGCTCTGGCCACACCCGGGGACATAGCTAGGACTGTCTGAGCAGCAGCGGCTCCACCTCTGTCTAGGCCGCAGGCAGCATAGGGGTTCAGACAGACCTGAGTTCAAGTCCAGCTCCGCCCCGTGTTTCACGTGTAGGGTCCAGCAGATAAGACAGCGGGATCCCGCAGACCCTGTTAGGAAGGAGGCAGGTCCCTTGTGTTCTTATTCTGAATTTCTGTGCCTAAGGAGTGTCTCAGCTACTCATTCCAGCTGAGCTACTGTTTTAATCGTCCCTTTTTCTAATTCATCTCGGACGTTTAAAATTCCATTCCAACGTACATCTTGATTTAGAGTCATTTATTTCTCAAATATTTCTCAAAGCACCTGTCGTGTGTGAGGTAATAAGAAGGACTATTATATAGTGCCTGGCGTGTGCGGGGCCCTGAGCTGCTGCTCTACACGGACGCCAGGGTGGGTTCTGTTCTTGTGCCCCTTTTATAGGAAACTGAGGCACAGAGAGGTTAAGTAACCAGCCAGGCATCAGGTCATCCCTTTCACTTCTCCGGGTCACAAAGTTACTGCAGAAAATGAACCCTGGGACTCTGGTGTCTGCCCTCCCGAGCCTGGCGGGCAGGATTCTGAAGTCAGGCCAGCCTGCGTCTGTGCCTACCGCCCGCTAGCCCTTGACCGTGTGAAACTCTAAGTCTCAGTTCCTTTATCGTAAAATGGAGATTCAAAACTCGAAGAGCACACAGATTCAGGTTAAGTGAGACAGTGGGTATTGCGTGCAGAGTGTCTGGCACGTCACAAGCGTTCGGCTTTGCTGGCTGGACACCCTCACCAGCCATGTGACTTTGGGCTAAACCTCAGTTTCCTCATTTGTTCCTGGGAGTCATGATAGACTTTTGTGGGTGTTAACTAAGATAAGTGCCTTTGCTTGAAGTCACCTCATTTAAAATTCAGAGCGACTCGATGATCAAAGGACCCTAACAATAAAAGAAGGACCTGCTCAGCCTAATCGATCCATGGCTTAGCATCTGGCAGCTGGGTGGACAGCTAGGTGGGCAGTGGAGGGCTCAGCAGAGGGGACTATGACCCAGGACCCTCCACCCCGCCCCCGGCACCCTAACTTGAGTGGGCGCTCACTGTTCTCTCTCGTCCCCTGGCAGCCTTGGAGCATGGCAAGTGCTGGGCGCCCTGGGAGCTCCAGATGGACAGGGCTCAGAGCCCAGTGCACAGCAGGGACCGAGCAGGAAGCATCAGCCACTGGACCAGACCTCCCACTTCCAGGACCTGAAGAGGACTTTGGTGGGCTTGAGGCCTGGGGCTTGGCCGGGGGGGACAGAGGTTGGAGGTCATTGGAAATACACTTGTGGGTACTTCAGCAGATGCCACAGAGGGCAGCCCTCTTAGCGTGGGTTATCCCAAAGTAGACACTGAAAGGGGGATTTGGGGCAAGTGGTGTATCTCTTGCAAGATGATCCCAGGAGAAATGGCAGGGCAGGGGGAAAGCGAGGAGAGCAAGGACAGGAAGCCACGCAGGGTGTGGGTAAGGGGGATGTGCTCTGTCGCAACGGGGGTCCCCTGGGGGCCTGTACGGAACATCTCACACAATCATCCCATCTGAGAAGCAAGGAGGCTGGGCTATGATCTGCCAGTCCCATCCTTCATCAGCCGAGGGCCCAAGAAAGACCTCACAGGAAGCCAGTGGGATGGTCCATGGCATCCACTACAGTGCCATCTCCTGGAGCAAATCTCCACTCAGTCATTGACTCATCGATGCAATCCTTCGGAGATGTGCCCATTAAACACCTGCTCTGTCCCCAGCCCCATGCTGGGTGCTGGGGAAACAGGAACAAATCAAACACCGTGCTGGCCCTTGAGTTTAGCAGGAGAACAGAGCTATGAGTAAAATAATTTGCGATGTCGCAGAAAGGGCTATCAGAACAAGGTGTGCAGCTCTTACTGTAATGCCGAGGGACAGTTGAAGTAACGTGAGGGCTGGGTCTCGAAGGACATGTTGGACAAGGGCTTCTGAGGTCCATATCCTTTGAAGTAAAACGCACGACGGTTTGTGGGCGATGAGGTGAGGGGGCTGGGAGGGGCCTGCCAGGCTGAGCCCGGAGCCCAGCATCCTCAGAGCTCCCTCTACCGCCCGCCGACATGTGCCCGGGAACATGGGTTTTCACAGTGGCCAATCTACAGACCGAAAGTGGACAATGCAACACAAACATGCTGCATTTGACAATGGAAACCACTTGGGGACAGCGGGCTAGTTCGTGTTGTCAGCGGCAGGGCGGATTCAGCCAGGCTGGGCACAGGGGTGGGGCTGATGCCCAGCGGGGCCCATAAATGGCGAGAGCGGGGAGGTGGGTATTCACAGGGCTCCTGGATCCTGATGTCCCAGCCAGACCCAGCCACCTCCCCGGGCCCGCGCCCCGCAAGCGCCCCGACCCGGTGCCTGTCCTCAAGGCTGCCGCCCTTGCAGACGCCGACGGCGGCCCGAGCCCCAACTCCGGCATGACCACGCGGGAGCTGCAGGACTACTGGAGGAACGAGAAGCGCTGCTGGAAGCCGGTCAAGCTGCTCTTCGAGATCGCTTCGGCCCGCATCGAGGAGAGGAAAGTCTCCAAGTTCGTGGTAGGCGGGGCCAGGGCATGACGTCACGCCGGGCACCGCCCCCTTCCGGGTCTGGGCTGGCTGGCGGGGCTCGGCTTTCCCAGGCGTGAAGGGGGTTCCCCGCACTTTCACTCACAGAGCTGTTCTGGGGAGAACGGGCAAAGTGCAAGATGTCATGCTCAGCACGGTGCTAGGGACTATGGGCTCTGTGGACGTGTGACTCGCGGTCCCTGATGCTGAGGAGGAACCAGCCCCGTTTAATCTCATGTCATCTGTGTCCCTAAACCATTCTTGCCATATCCCTGTGTCATTTATATTATCATTTACCTAGTTTTGTTTCCTTTAAATTAGACCACTTTTTTAAAAACCCACTCAATTTCAAAGAAAAATACCTTAGATGGAAAAGCACTATCCCATGGCATAAAGAACAGGTGATCGTAACAAGTAAATTCCAGCTGGTCGCGGGTGGAAAGCTCTGTGCCTGGGGGCCGTTCTCTTTCTTGAAGTGGAATTCGAGCCTGTATTGGGGGAGATCTTAACGGCGGGAAGGGCCACCCTCCATCTTTTTGGGGACGGGGGCTCATTAACAGCTGACGCCGCGTGCTGCCGGCGTCATGGTTTTATCGCACGATCTCTCCGCATCCTCACCCAGCCAGGTAGGCGCCATTACCATCCTCGTTTAATGGATGGGAAAAGCCAGGCTCAGAGAGGTGAATTTACCTACATAAGACCACACAGCTAGACCGCAGCGGGACTGCAGTGATAACCCCGGCGGTCTGTACCCTTAATTAGGATTCTCTTGAAAGAGAACTGAAAAGGAATAATTCTTACTCTGTAACATCGCCGCCAGTATAGCACCCAAAACTATCTGCCAAATGTGGGGACAAAGATCTATCCCAAGCGTCTCTCTTCCAGAACCTGAGGCCCTGTTTTGATGGTGTAAAGCCAAGAGCGCCCCTAGGCCCCCCGAGTGGCCCCTCCCTGTGCTCTTTCTCCCCAGAGATGCCTCTCTGTCACTGTGCTTGTTACTCTTGGGTTGACTGTTATCATGATCCACTTTTACGGCTCAGCCAATGCCGATGGCAATTTAAAACAGAGTTGCATATAACAACGACCCATTTCGGGCACGCTTTAAATTATGATCATCATTATTTTTACTTGCCGGGCTCTCCCTGTCAGTTCGAACCCTCTGTTAGGTTGTCGTCAAAGGCGTTCTCTCTCTCTCTCTCTCTGCGCGGCAGATGTACCAAATCGTCGTCATCCAGACAGGGAGTTTTGACAGCAAAAAGCCATAACATCGCCGCCAGTATAGCACCCAAAACTATCTGCCAAATGTGGGGACAAAGATCTATCCCAAGCGTCTCTCTTCCAGAACCTGAGGCCCTGTTTTGATGGTGTAAAGCCAAGAGCGCCCCTAGGCCCCCCGAGTGGCCCCTCCCTGTGCTCTTTCTCCCCAGAGATGCCTCTCTGTCCCTGTGCTTGTTATTCTTGGGTTGACTGTTATCATGATCCACTTTTACGGCTCAGCCAATGCCGATGGCAATTTAAAACAGAGTTGCATATAACAACGACCCATTTCGGGCACGCTTTAAATTATGATCATCATTATTTTTACTTGCCGGGCTCTCTCTGTCAGTTCGAACCCTCTGTTAGGTTGTCGTCAAAGGCGTTCTCTCTCTCTCTCTCTGCGCGGCAGATGTACCAAATCGTCGTCATCCAGACAGGGAGTTTTGACAGCAACAAAGCCATCCTGCACCGTCGCTATTCAGACTTTGAGAGGCTCCAGAAAAACCTCCTGAAGACGTTCGGGGAAGAGATCGAAGACGTCGCCTTCCCCAAGAAGCGCCTGATGGGGAACTTCACCCAGGAGATGATCTCGGAGCGCAAGCTGGCCTTCAAGGAGTACCTGAGCCTGCTATACGCCATCCGCTGCGTGCGCCGTTCCCGCGAGTTCATCGACTTCCTGACGTGGCCCGAGCTGAAGGAGGCCTTCGGCTGCCTGCGGGCCGGGCAGTACACCAAGGCCCTGGACATCCTGGTGCACGTGATACCCCTGCAGGAGAAGCTGACAGCCCACTGCCCTGCGATGATGGTCCCTGCCCTCTGCGCCATGCTGGTGTGCCACCGAGAGCTCGAGCAGCCCATGGAGGCCTTCGCCGCGGGTGAGAGGGCCCTGGAGCATCTGCGGGCCCTCGAGGGACATCGCTACTACGTGCCCCTGCTGGACGCCATGATCGGCCTGGCCTACATGCTGGGCAAGGACTGTGTGTCGCTGCAGGAGAGGCTGGAGGAGAGCCAGCTCCGGAAGCCCACACCCCAGGGCATCACCTTGAAGGAACTGACGGTCCGGGAATACCTGTGCTAGCCGCTCCGGCAGGTGAGTGGCAGATGCGCGGTCGCCACTGCTCTGTGAGCAGTTAGGGGTTCACTTGGGGTGCACTTTGGCTCTAACTGGTTGGTCACCTGGGATGAGGCCCTCTCCTGGACTTCCATTTCCCAGGCTGGTTGAACAGAGGTGCTGGTGGCCCTTAGCTGCCAGGCCAACTTCGTCTCAAAACCACAAACCCAGCTGCCAAGCCCCCGGAGGGTGAGATCGGTCTCACGGATGTGTTTGTAGGTAGCTGGAGGAGAACACAGCTTAGTCCGTGTCCCCACAAAGGCCTCTCTCCAGCTCTCTCCGTTCGAAGTTGCGATCTAAGCAAATAGCAAATATTCCCACCCGTTATCCACAGTATTCTGGCTGTTCCCTCTTAGCGTGTAGACGCAACTCACAAAAGTTTACCTTCTGCTCCTCAAGGCCAGCTTTGTCCCCAGAGTGGGGCCCTTGTCATCTTCTGAAGGGTGGGAGGATACTGAGCCACAAGCAACCACGCCATGAGAGTCTGTGATACAGGCATTTTAAACCAACGCAGTTGCCAACGATTTCTTTAGGGTGCTAGAACTCATTGCCTCAAGGTGGGTTTTCATTTATAAGGCAACTGTCCCTTGAATGGCCTCCCTGTGTTATGTAGACATTGCCCTGGAGGGAGGTGGAAGGTAGATACTCAGGTAAACTTCTGGGCACAAAAGAGATGGAATGCTCACCACCTCTCCACTTGAGGCACAGCATTCTTGGGAGCTCTCTGAGGGTGACCCACTGTCAGGAAAGGACACCAGGGGCCCCAAAGTAAAGAGGGGTCTGGCTAATGACCTGGGTTCAACACCAGACCGGACGCAGATGGTACAGGCTGGTACAGGTTTGGGCCCAACATGTGTTTGAGGCTGGAAGTCCCTGAAGACCTAAACCGCTAGCTGAGCTTAGCAGGGGAAACTGAAGAGGCTGTGACTTGGGAACCTCGGTGTGGGGTGCCGCGTTGGCCTGCCACAGACAAGCATTCACTGGACCACACCAGGGTGTGCTCAACAGCGACACCGTGTGGCCACACCTGTAGTGGCCCCATCAGCTCTGTCCTGAGGTTAGCAGCAGGCTGACAGCTTGGGACAAAGACAGCCTTTAAGTCTCTCTGTGTGCTCCAGGGGAAGGGCACTCGGAATGGGATCTTTTGGGCTTCATGAAAATTAAAAGTGTTAAATGGGAAAATAAAAGCGCTACAGCCCTGTTTGTAACAGGGACGATCGTACTGATTTCACAGGCGAGTTCGTCAAATATAAAATGCTGTCAGCTAAAAGACACCCCAGACATTCACTAAGCACAAACAAATGCCCAGCGTGGGGAGTTTCACAGGAGAGTTGGGAAACAAACTGGGCGAGCAGAGTTAGCCCCCGATGCAAGGGTCAACGTGGAGTAAACCCCCTGCGTGGACACGGCAGCCGCAGGACCAGAGCTGGGGCGGCCACATCGAAGCGACATGACCCGGCAGGCAGGGCAGACAGAATAATCCCGGCTGGAGTTCCAAGGGCTGGGCCAGACTGGGGGCGCAGAGCCATAACGGAGGCCGCGGCAGAGGCTGGTAGCCGGCCTGGCCGGGGAGCTCGGCTCAGGTTGGGCTCCAGTCCCCGGCACCTATGCGCCCTCGACTCAGTAACGCCCGCAGCAGCGGCCTGGCCTGAGCTCGGAGCTGCAAAACCGGTCCAATTCCACCTGCTGGAGAGGGCGGGGCTCAAATGTGTCCCCAGCCAGCCTCTCCTGGGCTCTTCCAGACACTTCCTGTTCCTCCTGCAGCAAACAGCAAGAGTGGCCTTCCAGAACCCTCCTCCCACTCAGCCACACTCCTCCCTCCACCTTTTCCATCATCCACTTGCCATTTCCTTCCAGTAGTCTCCTTTTACTTATGGAAATTTATTTGAAAAAGAAACTTCCTATTACGACCCTAAATGGAAAAACCAGAATCACTTTGCTATAATTAGAAGGTAGCTATAAAAATAAACACAATGGAACCTATCCTGTGATTGTGCCTCACAGGCCTTCCTCTGAAACAGGCCTTGAGCCTGAGGCTGCCAGAGGTCCTTGTCAAAGAGAGACAGAGGAAAGTGTTAGACATTTGTTGTCACCAAGCTGAGCCTTCTCTGTGACTTTCTCAGAAGGACTGCGAAAGGACCTTTCTGATCACGTGGCCTGGATCATCTGATGTTGTCGGCCAAGCTCCCTGACCATCTGGTGGCTCCCTCCCTGCCCGTGGCCCTAGTCCCCCGTCCCCAAGCCCTATATTCAGTTCTGCTCGCTCTCCAGACCCTCAGTCATGGGCCAGGTTTTGGGTTGGATTGATGTACTTGGCTTTCGACGCCCCAGTTGGGAGGCGGTACCCAGGCTGCAGCTTCTCCCTCCTGCCAGCTGTGACACAGAGCGCTTATCCAACCTGATACCAGGTTAAGACTCCCAAATGGAGGGAGAGCTCTGGACTGGCCAAAGCCTGAACCTGCAGCATGTCTTCTAGTTGCTGTCACTGTGTCCCCTGTTACAAGCAAGAAGATACTCCTCCCCCCGAGGCCCTGCACAGAGCCCCACCCTTCCGGTCAGCACCCGCCTAGCCGTCCATCCGTGTGTGTTCTAGTTTGCTCAGTAAGTGACAATTACTGATGCTCCTACCCCGTGTCACACCTTGTGAAGTGCTGAGGACACAGCGGTGAGGACAGACCCAGCCCTTGTCCTTGTGGAGCTGATGTTTTAGAAGGGAACGACTCACAGAGTAAATGGAAGCTGGGACAGAATGGTCTCGTTTAGCCATATGGTCAGGGAGGGCTCCTCAGAGGAGGAGGCATTTAAGGGAGCCACAGGGCAGGCTAAGGAGGCGGCCACAGCAGCACGCGGAGGGGAGAATTTTAGGCAGAGGGAGAGCAGAAGCACAACCCTGCAGCAGGTCCCTCCTCCGTCCCTGGGGACCCAGGACCAGGCCCAGAAACGAGGCAGCCCCTCCCCTGGCCGCGCTCCAAGAGCAAGGCCCTGGGTGCTGGCAGACAGAAGCCTGGCGAGCCACATCCGTGCCGTCGCCCATCCCCAGAAACGGGCTCACCGCGAAGCGAGGAAGCTGGGGAGCCTCTTGGACACAGACGACAGAAAGCCGGGTTGCTGTGACGAGGGAGGACTTTGTGATCGGACAAGTCCAGGAACAGACCAGCACGAAGCCAAGGTGGATCCAAAGACACGAAGCTCGCCTCCTCCTCGCTTTCGCTTCCCCAGCTTGCCTTCTCTCTCTCCTCCTGGTGGTGACGAGATGGCTGCAGCCGCTCCAGGCTCACATGCTCTCTTCTCAGCAACCCAGGAGGACCCCTTCCAGGGCGCCCGCGACATGCGGGAAACACCCACACGTCCTCTCCCCAGGAACCTGGGCAGGACAGCGTCCCCTCAACCACAATTAGCTCACAGCCTACAACAGAAATGGGTCTTGGCATCCTGCTTTCTAAATTGAATAGATTTTATTTTTTTAGAGCAGTTTTAGGTCCACGAAAAAATTTAAGAAAAAGGTACAGAGGTGTCCCATACGTCCCCACCCCCACACGTGCACAACCACCCCATTGTCAACATCCCCCGCTGCAGTGGTGCGTTTGTTACTGTTGACGAACCTACACTGACACATCGCTGTCACCCAAGGTCCCTAGTTTACATGAGGGTTCTCTTGGTGTCGTACATCCTATGGGTTTAGATAAACGTACCCACCACTGACACGCATTCGCCATTAGGGTACCATACTGAGTATGAAGTATGATTAGATTCTATCCACACATCACGAGCGTGTCCCTATAACATATGCTATTCTTCCATGTTACCGTTAACGGTGTCATTGTATCCTAGTGTGTGTGTCCTGGTTGTTTTAACCTTTTGTAATGCTCCATATGTTCCTTACGCAGGAAACAGAGCTGCAATCGGCAAACGCCTGGACGCAGCGTCTGTTTTGTACCTGTGCATTAAGACGATTTCTAACAGTGATGCTTCTGAACCATAATCAAACGCTTCTAACGATTTTGACAACATTAACTTCTCTCTCTCCAGAGAGGCTGTACAAGCTCTCTCCACCAGCTGGGTATGAGATGCCCCTTTCCTTGACACTTCTGACACTGGACGTTAGCGTTTTGAAGCTGTTGTCCAGTGTGTTGGATGAAAAGTGTCGTCCGTGGTTTGAGGTGCATATTCTTGCTCCTAGGACGTACGAACACTTTTCACAGGTTTCCTGGTCGTTCTCATTGTACTTTGTTCCTTTCTCCATTTTCCACCCAGCACTTCTGGAGGAGGCAGCTCCTAGGACCTAGCCCTGCGATTTAAAAGGGGGCCAGCAGATGGCGCTGCCGCGCTGGCGTCGCCGGCCGCGCTGGAGGGACGGGAACCGAGCATTTCCCCTCAAAAGAAAACAAGACTGAAAAACTTTTCAAAGGGTTTTGAAATAATGCTACAAAGAAAGACCACTGCCGGGAAAGCGCTGATGCCTTGCTGACTCCTTAACCGCCCAGCCACCGCCAGTGTTGTTTGGCGCCCCGCCCCCCACCCGGCAACCCCAGCTTGGGGGTCGGGATTGCTCCTCCTCGGTTTCCGCTCCCCCATCCTCTTCCCGCAGCCCAGAGGCCGCGAGAGGCGGAAGGAGGTCTCGTCCCCGCGCCCGCTCCACCTCCGCGGGCGAGCGAAACCCGCAGCCGACAAAATGGGGCACTTAAAAATAGGGCGCCGAGCCTCCTGGAGCAGGACCCGCCCTGGGGCTGCTCCGGTGGTGACCTGCGGGCTCTTGGGGAAAAGAAGGGGCTTGATTAAGCCTCCCTCAATATGGGGGAGAGGCCTTTTCCCAATGTGGGGGGCACGGGCGCCCCCAGAGCCCCTGCCACATCGCTTTCCAGGAACAAGTGCCACGTCCCTCCCCAGACCCCACCTCCCACCTTTGGAGGACCCAGCTGGTGCCGGGGGCTTCCCATCCATCTGCCTAGGGAATTGGGCGAAGGGAAAGGGCTCCCAGGCGAACTAGACATACCTCGTTTGTCAGGCTGCGACTTGGGACAGCCGTTTAGGAAAACCACCTGGCATTGTCTGCAGAAGCT